CTTTAGGCCTAACACATTCAGGCAATTTTTGGTTTTGCACAATTTATTTTCTTCTTTATGATGATCAGTGAAGGAAATAAAAATGTTACACTGCAACAATGTATTAATCAACAGATTATTTGCAGTTGTTTTATTGAAAAATCTAATAATCCCATGCATCTGAAAATAAACTACAAGAAAAGGAAATAAACAACATTTTTCTGTGATTTACTGTACGTAAGAGACACAATCATTTTAAAAGCCCTGTTTGTGCAAGTAAAAATACATCAAAGGTCCAGACTACTGTAGAATCATGACTGCCATTTTTACCCACAGTGCTTTTCGACAGCAAATAATTGCACTCCATTCTTTGTGGTCATCCATTAATTTGTACTCCTTCTGGAAGGGTTCTGAGGTGATAAAGCAAAGTAGCTCATTAATTATTAGGGCTAGATTATATCAGATCTGCGCTAGCTGACATCCCTATAGCGGTTGTTTTGGCGGTGTTGGAGGTGGAACTGTGTTAGAGCTGTCAAATCCACAAGTCACCTTATCACGGACACTGCCATTGGACGCAACTAAACCACACCCGACTTTATATCAGACAAAGCCCATGCAGCCGTGTTAGAAGTTCAAACACTCAAATGCGTAATATTCTGTTAACTACACCTCAATTGGGCTATAAAACCCCCCATCCAAATGAACATGAAAACATGCATTAGACTGTCATTATTTCGATCATCAACAGAGCCTACACTTTCTACCGCCGTTATGAACTTCTAACGCGGTAGGGATAGTAAGGGAGTGATTGGTGATACACGAGAGCAGCCGCTCACCGATTTGACAGCTCGTACCACAGTTACACCTCTAAAACATCTGCTATGCGGATGTCGGCCAACGCAGCTTAACGCTCAATCTGATTGAATCGAGGCCTTCAACAACCTTGCCTTGTGGATAAAACAGTTGTTTTAATTGCCGTTATGATGAAGATAACTGAGATCATAATAGCAAAAACATTAACTGTGCTTTACTTGACTTCCTATTTCTTGAAAAGCTATATGTAAAGAGCACTAGCCTAAGGGTAGACAACAGTACATAAATAGGCCTCTGAATACAGGCAGACTGAAACTATCTCTGAAGTTCTTTAACCTATTAGGCTTTTTGAATAGATCAAAACAAAACTTTTATGAAGTTATTTTCAGTCTCACTTTATTTAAGGATGATGTGAAAAGTAAAGGCTGTCCATAACAGTCAGACGTTTAAAGAAGAATGCTGTTCAAAACCCCCCATAACAACTGATGTTATTGTATTCCAGTGTGATACTTATTTTATACAAGTTTTCATATCTATCTCAACTGTACATACCATGGTTACAGATACTGTAAATAAAAACGTTTCCAATGAGTTCCAAGTATCATCGTGGCCGTTGTGAATGTCAAGGTTTCTTATGAAAAATCAATGTTTAGAACGTCAAGATTGGTATATATAGTTCTGTATCTTTCTGGAATAATCAAACAAGTTATTGCCCTTCTCATACATATATTTCGCATTTAACATAAGGTTATTAAATTGAACTTAAATTCTACAATGTGTGTATGGAATACCACATATTAAATTGACAAAAACAGTAACAGAATGAAGTTTATTTTTACCACTTTATATATACTTCTTATATTTTGTAACATAGATTTTCCAGAAACCCTGATGACGATATATACAAATATATGAATATATATATATCTATATATATATATATATATATCTATATATATATATATATATATATATATATATATATATATATATATACACACATGTTTTTGACCTTTAAATTGAAAGAAACCGAAGAACAGAGTACCCCTGGCTAATAAAGAACGTTAGCATGAATAAGCAGTTTATTACCAGTTATTATGAGCCCTTTAACTACCAACTATTTTTGTAGACGTTGAGAAAATGTTTACATTAATAATAGAAAATTAGGGCACATAGCAAATAAAAGTAACAGTACCTGATAAATGTATGCACTCACTAACTGTAAGTCGCTCTGGATAAGAGCGTCTGCTAAATGACTAAAATGTAAAATGTAAATAAACAGCATTTGGCATTTTGTAAGAACAATAAATAGTGACTGTCAGGTTCCATGAATGCTGGGAAAAGAACATTTTTGAATGATGTGTTATTGACCATTCTATAGGTTCATTCTGATTTAGCTAGCCACGGCTATTACGTGTTATACGCTTTTATTGCCCTCAGCATCTTGCAGCATGTGTAATGTAGTTTACATTATATTGTGTGGGGGGATTTCTCACTGAGAATCTTGGCTTTGACATTGACTGCTTGATGATGTACTCTTAAAGAATGTGACTGGACTGCTGAACAACAGGTTGGCAGAAATAAAAGCAAAGTTTTGACAGGAAATAAAAAAGAAACTGTCTTGAGTGAGAAGGAACAACAGAGTGGATTTGTCACGACAGTTGTAAAAAACGGTAACTCCTATGTGAATTATACATTTTATTTCATGCCATCTTGAGAAAGCCAAATACCAAATATTCCATACATACATCGACACCATCAGGGTATCAGCAAATGTTACACAATCACATATAATGTAATATATAAAATGTGTCTTTTTTTTTCTGAAGGAACAACCAACCCCAGTGTCTCACTCACTCATAAGTGACCGTGTGTTTCTCTGGTGGGCAAAGATGGAGGAGAAAGAAGCCTTTTCCCTTCATGGAGGTCTGTGCTGCTGTGTTGCTGCTCTGGGCAGCCCCCATTGGCTCCAGGCTAGGGAGAGGTGCTCAGACAGGAAATCACACCTGGATGTGTCCAATAGCAGTACTGTCTCCAACCTGCTCCTTCCCAACCATTCCTTGTCCTCCAATAGGCTTCATCAGCATTCAGACGCCAGGCCCAGCTCACAGAGCAGCCCACTCTCTGTAGTGAGTTGTCCCCAAGTGATCTATCTCACCCTGTATGTTCCAGGTGTTGGAGTGTTGAATGGCAAAGAAGTCATGACAGCTTGTACAATTTACAGATGCGTTACAGATGCTTGTTGAGTTAGTTTCGCCTGGCCCACACCACCGCCACTACCTACTTGGCCTGGTGTATACTCTGGTTCCTGCAGGGTACAGGATACGACTACAAGCACAGAGCTCAACAAACACCTTTTAAAAACTAGAACCAAGACACCAATGGTGAAACATATGCTGAAACAAATCTGTTTAGACTTCTGATGATGATACGTAGCTTTTTTTGGTGGATATCGTCCACTTTGTGTTTTTCTTGTTCTTGTGACAACAGTTGTACAAAGAAAATGACGATAGCTAGCTATGTCTACGGCCCTTTTTACTCCAAGAAATGACCTTTGGGCCAACTGCACAGAAATACATTTCAATAGCAACTCTGATGTATGTTCCACTGTTGCTAAGTGCCATGTGATTTAGAGGTGCTTCTCTCCCAGTCTGTGGTTCCATTGTTGTGGTCTCCATCGGCGCCATTTCGGCTCAAGCCACATCTGGATAGGGTTCACATACGGCTCACATGTATCTTCCACTTGCCATTTTGGTCATTTAAATTTAGATTAACTAATTTAAAGAGCTTAAAAGTGACTTAATTTCACCGTTTCAAAACTACTAATGAAACCAAAATGGCAAACCCACATCCTCATCACGATCTGAATGTTTGTCTTGTCAACAGAACCTTGTCCAACTCTTTGATCTCAGTTTCTCACCACTTTTGATGCTGCCTGACCATCTGCCTATTTCATCGACTTATGAAAACTTATGGTCATTAGAAAGATGCTCCTTTATCCTCACTACAGCCAGATTAACAGAGTGACATCACAGTTTCTGGACCATTTACAGTGATGGGGCGAAGACCAACCAGTGGTAATGGAAGACCTGTTTTGCGAGGCCTCGTCTGGACACGTAACATCACTAGGATACGGTGTGCACTTCCGTTTCCCTATAGGTGTGTATCTTGATGTGTGTGTGTAGGTGTGTCAACACATAGTGAACATGGAGAGTCATTACTGTTCTCATTGTTTCCTGGAAATCTGTCCTGTTTGGTTCTGTTGCCTTCTAAAGGCATTGTACTGTAGTATTTCATTCTTGGTTGAGGCAAATTAAACTAGGCAAGTTGAAACACATTAAAGGCCTATGCAAAGAGATAGCATATTCTTTAAGAAAAATTAATGGGTGCAAATGTATCAAAGTGGAATATAAGCTGTGTGCATATTACTCCAAGTTAAAAGAATTGGCCCGTGGTGTCTTTCGACATTTTGCTGGTCACAGAAATTACAGTAATCTTACTTCTTGCCATGAGCCAATCCATTTAACACAATTAACACACTAAAATGATGCAGTAATATTACACAAACCAATTTGTCTTACATTTTGCTTTGTAGCAGGCCAGTTTTTATGTTTTCATTAGTTTTTCAGGACCTCCTACCCCGATACAGACCCCCCATCCCCCCCATATGTTCATTCACAGCATACTCAAAGCTTACGGTACGTCAAAGTCAGAAAGTATGCTATTTACATGCTTGTTCACCATGGTGAATTTTGATGAATCCTACGTCAGTTTGGTCTGGAACTCCTTTGTTCCTATAGTAACGCCTTCCAGGCATTGATGTAGCGAAATGCTCACGTTTTGACAGGCACACACATAGTCCAGTGTATGACAAAAGAAAAACAACAACAACATAAAAACCCTTTGAAGCAGATCCGCTACAGTTCTGGTCTGGTCAGGTCAGGTCTGGTCTGGTCTGGTCTGGTCCTCTGCTGCTGGGGGGGTGTGGTGGGGGGGTAAGACCGAAGGAGGTTGTTGCTCTGGATCGTGGGTCATTTGTAAGGTCCTCCTGTGCCCTCTCCCCTTCCCGACCCATGGTTCTAGAGACCATGGCATGAGGAGTGAAACGAACATATTATTCCACTGTTGCTGACGGCCTCAGCCAGGGTCTGCTTGTTGTTTTTAAAACGCGGATGTCCTTTCTTGGAAGTGCCAGGGGGGACTGATGCTCACAGGCCTGAGACCATGACCCGGTAGGACGGGGGCATGTGTCTGTGCCGTGGGCTAGAGCCGGGGCTGGCGTTGGGGCTGGTACAGCTGGCATCCACCCCCCCTATGGAGGGTAGGTAGGCATGGTGCAGGATTGGCAGCTGCAACGACAGCCTGCGCTGTATGCTGTGGACAGAGAGAAAGAGAGAGAGAGCCAGGGTGATGAATGGTATAGCATGTTAAGCATCATTAAACATCATTATATTCACCTGGCTAAATAAAGGTTTCAATTGAAGGAGTAAATGTCCCATGTGTGCTGTCAAAGTGTTAAACCCTCGACAGTCTTTCTAAATCTATGTGGTGCTACATTGCGAACACACTGTACATACAGGACTATTTACATCCAGCCAGTATGTGCTGTTTCACTCTCAATAATTCAAACAGCTTTTTGTACACCAGCACTTGTGATTACTGAAGCAAAGGGGGCTGGATGACTGTACACTGTAGTTAAAATACTCTAACAGGGTCACAACGCAGTCAGAGAGCCTCCCTGGTCCCCTCACCCCCCCTCCTCCTCTACCCCCCCAACATGAAAAACACACCAGAGAGCCTCCCTGGTCCTCTCACCCCCCACCTCCCCCTTCACCCCCACAGTAACACACCAGAGAGCCTCCCTGGTCCTCTCACCCCCCACCTCCCCCTTCACCCCCCACAGTAACACACCAGAGAGCCTCCCTGGTCCTCTCACCCCCCACCTCCCCCTTCACCCCCACAGTAACACACCAGAGAGCCTCCCTGGTCCTCTCACCCCCCACCTCCCCCTTCACCCCCACAGTAACACACCAGAGAGCCTCCCTGGTCCTCTCACCCCCCACCTCCCCCTTCACCCCCACAGTAACACACCAGAGAGCCTCCCTGGTCCTCTCACCCCCCCACCTCCCCCTTCACCCCCACAGTAACACACCAGAGAGCCTCCCTGGTCCCCTCACCCCTCACCCCCCACCTCCACAGTAACACACCAGAGAGCCTCCCTGGTCCTCTCACCCCGCACCTCCCCCTTCACCCCCCACAGTAACACACCAGAGGCTGGGAGTCTACTGCTACCACCCCACCCCTCTCCAGCATCACTGTCCATACATACACTACATCCCACTCCTCTCCACTCCACTCCTCTCCACTAACCCATAATCCACTAACACTCCGTGCTTTGGAGATCTTCTGACAAAAATAAAATGTCATGCTTCTGCCTGGTGTGACAGCTCACACCGCACCTCTCTGCTAGAGCCATCGCTTTTCAAGCCGATTACGTAACCAAATGGTAGTTATGTAAAGATAGAAAAAAACATGTCCTCCTCATTGACTAGCTGGACCCTCAAAGAAGTCTTTCAATTCTGAGAACTTTCTAAATATGACCAGTGAATTGTCTCAGGTTGTTGTACATGTTTTTTGATGAAAGAACACATGTACTGTACTAGTCTAATGATAATGTACTGTATTGGGTCAGCAATACATTTTCCCCTAAGGACAGATCTAGGTTCAGCTTCTCCTCCCCGAATCCTAACCGTAACCATTAGTAGGGAAAATGCCAAACTGACCCCAGGTCAGCGTCCAGGGGCAACTTCTCCATACACCTACTCCATTGCGTGTCAATACATTTTGCGATCCTCCTAACAGAGTATTAGTTGTACACTATTGATGGTATCAGAATACTTTTTGTCCTCTTGGAGAAGGTAGTGGAGATTGGAAAGGAAGGTCATACGGTACATGAGGATGTCTTGCCAAGAGAAGGTGATGAGGTGTTTTGATTGGCTCTATTTGCCAGGCTCTTATCTGAAACAGAGCTCTCTCTCTCTCTCAATTCAATTCAAAGGGCTTTATTGGCATGGGAAACATATGTTAACATTGCCAAAGCAAGTGAAATAGATAATAAACTAAAGTGAAATAAACAATATAAAATTAACAGTAAATATTAAACTCACAAAAGTTCCAAAAGAATAGAGACATTTTATGGCTATATACAGTGTTGTAATGATGTGCAAATAGTTAAAGTATAAAAGGGAAAATAAATAAACATAAATATGGGTTGTATTTACAATGGTGTTTGTTCTTCACTGGTTGCCCTTTTCTTGTGGCAACAGGACACAAATCTTGCTGCTGTGATGGCACACTGTGGTATTTCACCCAAAAGATATGGTAGTTTATCAAAATTGGATTTGTTTTTTTCAAATTCTTTGTGGGTATGTGCAATCTGAAGGAAATGTGTGTCTCAAATATGGTTATGCATTTGGCAGGAGGTTAGGATGTGCAGCTCAGTTTCCACCTCATTTTGTGGGCAGTGTGCACATAGCCTGTCTTCTCTTGAGAGCCAGGTCTGCCTACAGTGGCCTCTCTCACTAGCAAGGCCATGCTCACTGAGTCTGTACATAGTCAAAGCTTTCCTTAATTTGGGTCAGTCACAGTGGTCAGGCATTCTGCCAGTTTGCTCAGTTTTTTGGTAAATTCTTTCCAATGTGTCAAGTACATATATTTTTCTTTTTTCATGATTTGGTTGGGTCTTATTGTGTTGCTGTCTTGGGGCTCTGTGGGGTCTGTTTGTGAACAGAGCCCCAGGACCAGCTTGCTTAGGGGACTCTTCTCCAGGTTCATCTCACTGTAGGTGATGGCTTTGTTCTGGAATCACTTTGTCTCTCTGTCTCTCTCTGTCTCTCTTGTATGTATCTGTATGTCTCTCTGTCTCGGCTGTGTATGTAGTCGTGGGTGCTACGAGATTCATATCTCTAGAGAGAGCATGCAGGAGAGACATGAAGGAAACGAAAAAATACGAGAGAGCTATGAGAGGAGGATGAGCGAGAGAGAGATAGCAGTAGAGTAGAGCAATATCGATAGGATTAGAGTAGAGAGATAGATCTAGAGATTAGATAGATCTCTAGAGATGCTATAGTTAGCTCTCTATATATCTTCTCTCTCTCTATCTCTCTATCTCTCTCTCTCTCTCTATCTATGATCAAACATTCATGTGGTGTGGGAAAGCTCAGTGTTCTTCTTCGTCTCCCCAGTCTATTTTCAACCCCTGCTGCTTCCAACCGTAGCCGTAAATCACTGGTTACGTAAGCTCTGTGACTCTCTCATGGTTCCTCCTTCTCATGTCATCGCGCTATCATGGGTTCTCTCTGTCTATCGTTTTTCCTATCGCTCTCTCTCTATCATCTCTCGAGCTCTCTTCGCTCCGCGAGCTATCGATCTCTCGATCGACTATCTCGAGTCTATCTCGCTCGCTCCTCTCTCTCTCGTCCCAACGGTTTTAGTTAGATGCAACGTAGGAGGAGGAGAGGAGAGCTTGGAGGACGGGGGAGAAGAGGAGGAGGCTCTCAATGATGCATTAAACTCTTTTTTTCCTCTCTGATGAAGTCGACATGCCCCGGCCTGCTCATGAATAATAAGTGAAGGTAGCTCTTTATTTGTCATCTGAATGTGTTATGAGTGTTCTGGACCGCCACGTTTTAAGAGTTGGGACAATATGCAGTCAGCTGTGCTCTGCCGGTTATATGTGTGTGTGGGAGGGGGAGAGAGAGTGTGTGTGTGTGGGTGTGTCTGAAGAAAGATGATTGGGATGTTATATTGGTCCATCTTTCACAGAGCTGGTTGCCAGAGCAACCAGCATGCAGTGATGGCGGTGGTAGTAATACATCTAATGTCTAGTCTGCAGAAAAAGACAACAGTACGAAGAAAAAAGGGAGAACTCACTGTTCAGGTGAGTTGATATCCTCCAGGGGACCTCTGTTTATTCTGGAAGGATCCATGGAGCCCCACTGGGCCTGAGGCTTCTGCTCAAGATGATTCTTCAGTATTGATTTCTCCCCCTCTGCAGAGACACGGAGAGATGACACAGCAAACAGGATCAGTCACCATATGGGCTGTCACACTACGCCACAATATACCTCCTTATTCTCTATAGAACAGTGGACAAAACATTACGAACACCTGCTCTTTCCATGACATAGACTGACCAGGTGAATCCAGGTGAAAGCTATGATCCCTTATTGATGTCACTTGTTAAATCCGCTTCAATCAGTGTTAATGAAGGTGAGGAGACAGGTTAAATAATGATTTTCAAGCCTTGAGACAAATGAGACATGGATTGTGTATGTGTGCCATTCAGAGGGTGAATGGGCAAGACAAAATATTTAAGTGTCTTTGAACAGGGTATGGTAGTTGGTGCCAGGCGCACCGGTTTGTGTCAAACCCAGCAACGTTGATGTTTCCCGTGTGTATCAAGAATGGTCCACCACCCAAAGGACATCCAGCTAACTTTACACAACTGTGGGAAGAATTGAAGTCAACATGGCCAGCATCCCTGTGGAACGCTTTTGACACTTTGTGGAGTCCATGCCCCGACGAATTGAGGCTGTTCCGAGGGCAAAAAGGGTGAGGTGCAACTCAATATTGGTATATTTTGTACACTCAGTGTAGTGCACTACCTTAGACCAGGACCCGATAGGATTCCAATAGGGCTCTGGGCAAAAGTATTGCACTATATAGGGAATAGTGTGCCATTTGGGATGCACCTACTGTGTATGTCCCCTATGCTTGGTTCAGATCACAACACCTGAGAAGCTAAGGACACTGAAGAATGTCATGCCATCAGTCATACTAGTACTAATAGATAGCATTTACAAAATGCATGTCAAGCACTCTCTCAAAACAAATGCTAAGTATGAAAATGATTGGCTGAAGATTCTAGGATCTTAATTTGTCTGTAACAGCGTCAAGTCACTGATACAGTATCTGTCGGTCATTACACCGCTGATACAGTATCTGTCGGTCATTACATCGTTGATACAGTATCTGTCGGTCATTACATCGCTGATACAGTATCTGTCGGTCATTACATTGCCTGATACAGTATCTGTCGGGCATTACATCACTGATACATTATCTGTCGGTCATTACATCACTGATACAGTATCTGTCGGTCATTACATCGCTGATACAGTATCTGTCGGTCATTACATCGCTGATACAGTATCTGTCGGGCATTACATCACTGATACATTATCTGTCGGGCATTACATCACTGATACAGTATCTGTCGGTCATTACACCGCTGATACAGTATCTGTCGGTCATTACATCGCTGATACAGTATCTGTTGGCCATTACTTTAAAGGCACCAGCAAACAAAGACAACACTTCTGTTCTGTGAGTTCAACACATGCTAAATGGAGCTCTGCTGGTAGCACAATCAGAGAGGCTTCATTGAGGGAGAGACAGAGAGAGCAAGAGAAAGCGAGACAGACAGATAGAGAGAGAGAGAAAGCGAGACAGACAGATAGATAGAGAGAGAAAGTGAGACAGACAGATACAGTGACGGATAAAAAATATTTGATCCCCTGCTGATTTTGTACGTTTGCCCACTGACAAAGACATGATCAGTCTATAATTTTAACGGTAGGTTTATTTGAACAGAAAAACGCATGTCAAAAATGTTATAAATTGATTTGCATTTTAATGAGGGAAATAAGTATTTGACCCCTCTGCAAAACATGACTTAGTACTTGGTGGCAAAACCCTTGTTGGCAATCACAGAGGTCAGACGTTTCTTGTAGTTGGCCACCAGGTTTGCACACATCTCAGGAGGGATTTTGTTCCACTCCTCTTTGCAGATCTTCTCCAAGTCATTAAGGTTTTGAGGCTGACGTTTAGCAACTCGAACCTTCAGCTCCCTCCACAGATTTTCTATGGGATTAAGGTCTGGAGACTGGCTAGGCCACTCCAGGACCTTAATGTGCTTCTTCTTGAGCCACTCCTTTGTTGCCTTGGCCGTGTGTTTTGGGTCATTGTCATGCTGGAATACCCATCCACGACCCATTTTCAATGCCCTGGCTGAGGGAAGGAGGTTCTCACCCAAGATTTGACGGTACATGGCCCCGTCCATCGTCCCTTTGATGCAGTGAAGTTGTCCTGTCCCCTTAGCAGAAAAACACCCCCAAAGCATAATGTTTCCACTTCCATGTTTGACGGTGGGGATGGTGTTCTTGGGGTCATAGGCAGCATTCCTCCTCCTACAAACACAGCGAGTTGAGCTCGATTTTGATCTCATCTGACCACAACACTTTCACCCAGTTCTCCTCTGAATTATTCAGATATTCATTGGCAAACTTCAGACGGCCCTGTATATGTGCTTTCTTGAGCAGGGGGACCTTGCGGGTGCTGCAGGATTTCAGTCCTTCACGGCGTAGTGTGTTACCAATTGTTTTCTTGGTGACTATGGTCCCAGCTGCCTTGAGATCATTGACAAGATCCTCCCGTGTAGTTCTGGGCTGATTCCTCACCGTTCTCATGATCATTGCAACTCCACGAGGTGAGATCTTGCATGGAGCCCCAGGCCGAGGGAGATTGACAGTTCTTTTGTGTTTCTTCCATTTGTGAACAATCGCACCAACTGTTGTCACCTTCTCACGAAACTGCTTGGCGATGGTCTTGTAGCACATTCCAGCCTTGTGTAGGTCTACAATCTTGTCCCTGACATCCTCGGAGAGCTCTTTGGTCTTGGTCATGGTGGAGAGTTTGGAATCTGATTGATTGATTGCTTCTGTGGACAGGTGTCTTTTATACAGGTAACAAGCTGAGATTAGGAGCACTCCCTTTAAGAGTGTGCTCCTAATCTCAGCTCGTTACCTGTATAAAAGACACCTGGGAGCCAGAAATTTTTCTGATTGAGAGGGGGTCAAATACTTATTTGCCTCATTAAAATGCAAATCAATTTATAACATTTCTGACATGCATTTTTCTGGATTTATTTGTTGTTATTCTGTCTCTCACTGTTCAAATAAACATTCCATTAAAATTATAGACTGATCATTTCTTTGTCAGTGGGCAAACATACAAAACCAGCAGGGGATCAAATACCTTTTCCCTCACTGTAGATAGAGAGAGAAAGTGAGACAGACAGACAGATAGAGAGAGAGAGAAAGAAAGTGAGACAGACAGACAGATAGATAAAGTGAGACAGACAGAGAGAGATAAAGTGAGACAGACAGATAGAGAGAGAAAGCGAGAAAGCGAGACAGACAGACAGATAGATAGAGAGAGAGAAAGCGAGACAGACAGATAGATAGAGAGAGAGAAAGCGAGACAGACAGATACAGTGGGGAAAAAAAGTATTTAGTCAGCCACCAATTGTGCAAGTTCTCCCACTTAAAAAGATGAGAGAGGCCTGTAATTTTCATCATAGGTACACGTCAACTATGACAGACAAAATGAGAAAAAAATTTCCAGATTTTTTAAAATGAATTTATTTGCAAATTATGGTGGAAAATAAGTATTTGGTCACCTACAAACAAGCAAGATTTCTGGCTCTCACAGACCTGTAACATCTTCTTTAAGAGGCTCCTCTGTCCTCCACTCGTTACCTGTATTAATGGCACCTGTTTTAACTTGTTATCAGTATAAAAGACACCTGTCCACAACCTCAAACAGTCACACTCCAAACTCCACTATGGCCAAGACCAAAGAGCTGTCAAAGGACACCAGAAACAAACAAAATTGTAGACCTGCACCAGGCTGAGAAGACTGAATCTGCAATAGGTAAGCAGCTTGGTTTGAAGAAATCAACTGTGGGAGCAATTATTAGGAAATGGAAGACATACAAGACCACTGATAATCTCCCTCGATCTGGGGCTCCACGCAAGATCTCACCCCGTGGGGTCAAAATGATCACAAGAAAGGTGAGCAAAAATCCCAGAACCACACTGGGGGACCTAGTGAATGACCTGCAGAGAGCTGGGACCAAAGTAACAAAGCCTACCATCAGAAACACACTACGCCGCCAGGGACTCAAATCCTGCAGTGCAAGACGTGTCCCCCTGCTTAAGCCAGTACATGTCCAGGCCCATCTGAAGTTTGCTAGAGTGCATTTGGATGATCCAGAAGAGGATTGGGAGAATGTCATATGGTCAGATGAAACCAAAATAGAACTTTTTGGTAAAAACTCAACTCGTTGTGTTTGGAGGACAAAGAATGCTGAGTTGCATCCAAAGAACACCATACCTACTGTGAAGCATGGGGGTGGAAACATCATGCTTTGGGGCTGTTTTTCTGCAAAGGGACCAGGACGACTGATCCGTGTAAAGGAAATAATTAATGGGGCCATGTATCGTGAGATTTTGAGTGAAAACCTCCTTCCATCAGCAAGGGCATTGAAGATGAAACGTGGCTGGGTCTTTCAGCATGACAATGATCCCAAACACACCGCCCGGGCAACGAAGGAGTGGCTTCGTAAGAAGCATTTCAAAGTCCTGGAGTGGCCTAGCCAGTCTCCAGATCTCAACCCCATAGAAAATCTTTGAAAGTCCGTGTTGCCCAGCGACAGCCCCAAAACATCACTGCTCTAGAGGAGATCTGCATGGAGGAATGGGCCAAAATACCAGCAACAGTGTGTGAAAACCTTGTGAAGACTTACAGAAAACGTTTGACCTGTGTCATTGCCAACAAAGGGTATATAACAAAGTATTGAGAAACGTTTGTTGTTGACCAAATACTTATTTTCCACCATAATTTGCAAATAAATTCATTAAAAATCCTACAATGTGATTTTCTGGATTTATTTTTCTCATTTTGTCTGTCATAGTTGACGTGTACCTATGATGAAAATTACAGGCCTCTCTCATCTTTTTAAGTGGGAGAACTTGCACAATTGGTGGCTGACTAAATGCTTTTTTCCCCCACTGTAGATAGAGAGAGAAAGTGAGACAGACAGATAGAGAGAGAAAGTGAGACAGACAGATAGAGAGAGAAAGCGAGACAGACAGAGAGAGAGAGAAAGCGAGACAGACAGATAGATGGAGAGTCAGAGGCGAGAGAGATGAGGGGAAGGGAGAGAGAGAGAGAGAGAGACACACAGAGAGAGAGAGAGAGTGAGAAAGAGACCAGGGGGGAAACAGACTGACAGGATTCTGGTGTTGGCCTCTCGTCACCGTGGGAGACAGACGGTGAGTGTGAACACGGTTGGTATCAAAGTAAACAGCCTCATCAGTGTTTCAAACGCCACCTGGAGAGCCTCGAAGTGATCCCCTTTTGTGTCGATTTATTCCTCTAGAGTTGACCCAGATTTTCCCCTCTTAGCATAAGATTGACCTGATTCGACGATCACACCGTGGCATTGTGTGTCCTAAATGTGCATCTGAAGAGGAGGATACAGGAGCGCATGTCTAAACATAGCGTAATGGATTCATATGGATTGGATTGCGGTGGTAAATGATTTATTCGGCATATGAGCAATTCAAAGTATAATCCTTTTTGGAAATGAATGAATATATAAACCACCTCTGAAAACAGTGTTGGTGGAGTGGTTTCAAAAGTGCAGTTTACTGTAAAAGGCCACTATCTCTTGTGCCCTGAGAGATAACCTCATACAGTATTATTCATGCCTTCTGAACTCTCTGTAACTACTCTCCAGATCCTTTACGGCATCCATTTTAGGTTCCTCAATTGTCCGATGAAACTCTCCAACTTGTCAACTAACAGAACTATGTATTTCAACTGGCCTGACAATGGATGGAATTCCTAATATGGATGCCGTGGTCCTTGTGTCAGTCAACCCCACCACTCTACCTTCAGCACGTCCAAACCATGTGCTAATGAATATTCATGCCCTACGGAGAGTGTTCCTTGTAGTTGTTTGTGATTGTAATCACTGTTGACACTGTGTCCTACTCTTATAACAGCCACTCATTACATTTACATTTTACATTTTAGTCATTTAGCAGACGCTCTTATCCAGAGCGACTTACATATTATTATATATATTTTTTTTTTTATACTGGCCCCCTGTGGGAATCGAACCCACAACCCTGGCGTTGCAAACACCATGCTCTATCAACTGAGCTACATCCCTCATTCACAGCCCAAATGCGTTTAGTCCAGCCAGTCTCATGAATACTGATGGCTGGGGTAGAGATATGGATGTGGTGGTGTTCTCTACGGCGTGGCTGAATCCTCATGGTGAATATAATGACCCATTATATTTCTCTATATCTCTGTCTGTCAGTCTGCATGCTGAACAGAAGCTTATCATTGAGCAATCGACAAACTTAGGTTCAGGATACTGTAGTACTGAACTACTAAAAAAAAAAAAAAAAAATGTACTAGAGAGGCACTAAGGTGTAGTTGTCATGACGATAGTAGTATTGTATCATAATTAGCAGACGAGAAACTGGAGGAACAATTAAAAGCTTGCTGATCCCTGTCTCTGAGATGAGCACAGCTGTTTTACCTTGGACAGATGCGTACAACTCTTCAGAGAGAATCATGTGCAGACAGTGAGTGCGTCAGCAGCAGTCCATGCTGGCAGAGGTGTGTATCTGTTTAAATGAGTGAGAAATATGTGGGAGGTGATGCTGTAGAAGTGTGAACAAAAGCAGCAGTGGTCAGTCACCTTTGCCGTCTGTGAAGTTGCGTATGCTGAGGATGTTGTTGACATCTCCGTAGTGGTTCTGCTTGATGTACGGGGTCTTCTCTGGGGTGTCCTGCAGCTGCATGGTCACCTCCTCCAGTTCCTTATCCAACTGCACAGAGATAAATGAAGTTTAAGGGGTTAAAAAAGTGTTTAAGGGGCTAAAATAGTGTTACACTATGGGAGTAATGATTAATAAATGGTGAACATATGGTTTGTAAATGCCTTAAATGCCTTATAAATGGTTTATTATGGACCCTTAAAACAAAGTGTTACCCATTGTTAACATAGAGTTGAATAGTGATGGGAAAAAACTGCAAGGACAGATAAGGGTTGCCTACTGAAATGTATTGATTTTGATCATAAGGAAACCTTTTCTATTCAACTCCATTGTACTTCAAGAGTGGCTTTAGGAACAACTACAATGGCAACGGCTACTCTTACACCGCTAGAAGAGAGTAGATACAGTGAAATGCATGACAGAGAGATTTCTAGAAAAGCCTACGTGATTGGCACGAGATTTCTCCTTATGTCATTCAACGTCAAAGACATAAAACATAATATGTTCTGTAAATGAAAGTGGAGAGGACGATACACTTTATAGAGTGACAGGATGGTGTTACTGGCAGACAGGACCTATTAGAAACACTTTATAGAGTGACAGGATGGTGTTACTGGCAGACAGGACCTATTAGAAACACTTTGAGTGACAGGATGGTGTTACTGGCAGACAGGACCTATTAGAAACACTTTATAGAGTGACAGGATGGTGTTACTGGCAGACAGGACCTATTAGAAACACTTTATAGAGTGACAGGATGGTGTTACTGGCAGACAGGACCTATTAGAAACACTTTATAGAGTGACAGGATGGTGTTACTGGCAGACAGGACCTATTAGAAACACTTTATAGAGTGACAGGATGGTGTTACTGGCAGACAGGACCTATTAGAAACACTTTATAGAGTGACAGGATGGTGTTACTGGCAGACAGGACCTATTAGAAACACTTTATAGAGTGACAGGATGGTGTTACTGGCAGACAGGACCTATTAGGAACACTTTGAGTGACAGGATGTGCTACTGGCAGACAGGACCTATTAGAAACACTTTATAGAGTGACAGGATTGTGTTACTGGCAGACAGGACCTATTAGAAACACTTTATAGAGTGACAGGATGGTGCTACTAGCAGACAGGACCTATTAGAAACACTTTGAGTGACAGGATGGTGTTACTGGCAGACAGGACCTATTAGAAACACTTTATAAAGTGACAGGATGGTGTTACTGGCAGACAGGACCTATTAGAAACACTTTATAGAGTGACAGGATGGTGTTACTGGCAGATAGGACCTATTATAAACACGTTATAGAGTGACAGGATGGTGTTACTGGCAGACAGGACCTATTAGAAACACTTTTATAGAGTGACAGGATGGTGTTACTGGCAGACAGGACCTATTAGAAACACTTTATAGAGTGACAGGATGTGTTACTGGCAGACAGGACCTATTAGAAACACTTTATAGAGTGACAGGATGGTGTTACTGGCAGACAGGATCTATTAGGAACACTTTGAGTGACAGGATGGTGTTACTGGCAGACAGGATCTATTAGGAACACTTTGAGTGACAGGATGGTGTTACTGGCAGACAGGACCTATTAGAAACACTTTATAGAGTGACAGGATTGTGCTACTGGCAGACAGGACCTATTAGAAACACTTTATAGAGTGACAGGATGGTGTTACTGGCAGATAGGACCTATTAGAAACACTTTGAGTGACAGGATGTGTTACTGGCAGACAGGACCTATTAGAAACACTTTATAGAGTGACAGGATGGTGTTACTGGCAGACAGGATCTATTAGAAACAGTTTATAGAGTGACAGGACTGTGCTACTGGCAGGCAGGACCTATTAGAAACACTTTGCGTGACAGGATGGTGTTACTGGCAGACAGGACCTATTAGAAACACTTTGAATAACAGGATGGTGTTACTGACAGACAGGACCTATTAGAAACACTTTATTGAGTGACAGGATGTGCTACTGGCAGACAGGACCTATTAGAAACACTTTGAATGACAGGATGGTGTTACTGGCAGACAGGACCTATTAGATACACTTTATAGAGTGACAGGATGGTGTTACTGGCAGACAGGACCTATTAGAAACACTTTGAATAACAGGATGGTGTTACTGGCAGACAGGACCTATTAGATACACTTTATAGAGTGACAGGATGGTGTTACTGGCAGACAGGACCTATTAGAAACACTTTATAGAGTGACAGGATGGTGTTACTGGCAGACAGGACCTATTAGAAACACTTTATAGAGTGACAGGATGGTGTTACTGGCAGACAGGACCTATTAGAAACACTTTATAAAGTGACAGGATGGTGTTACCGGCAGACAGGACCTATTAGAAACACTTTATAGAGTGACAGGATGGTGTTACTGGCAGACAGGACCTATTAGAAACACTTTGAGTGACAGGATGGTGTTACTGGCAGACAGGACCTATTAGAAACACGTTATAGAGTGACAGGATGGTGTTACTGGCAGACAGGACCTATTAGAAACACTTTATAGAGTGACAGGATGGTGTTACTGGCAGACAGGATCTATTAGGAACACTTTGAATAACAGGATGGTGTTACTGGCAGACAGGACCTATTAGAAACACTTTATAGAGTGACAGGATGGTGTTACTGGCAGATAGGACCTATTAGAAACACTTTGAGTGACAGGATGGTGTTACTGGCAGACAGGACCTATTAGAAACACTTTATAAAGTGACAGGACTGTGCTACTGGCAGGCAGGACCTATTAGAAACACTTTGAATAACAGGATGGTGTTACTGGCAGACAGGACCTATTAGATACACTTTATAGAGTGACAGGATGGTGTTACTGGCAGACAGGACCTATTAGAAACACTTTATAGAGTGACAGGATGGTGTTACTGGCAGACAGGACCTATTAGAAACACTTTATAGAGTGACAGGATGGTGTTACTGGCAGACAGGACCTATTAGAAACACTTTATAAAGTGACAGGATGGTGTTACCGGCAGACAGGACCTATTAGAAACACTTTATAGAGTGACAGGATGGTGTTACTGGCAGACAGGACCTATTAGAAACACTTTATAGAGTGACAGGATGGTGTTACTGGCAGACAGGACCTATTAGAAACACTTTATAGAGTGACAGGATGTGTTACTGGCAGACAGGACCTATTAGAAACACTTTATAGAGTGACAGGATGGTGTTACTGGCAGACAGGATCTATTAGGAACACTTTGAGTGACAGGATGGTGTTACTGGCAGACAGGATCTATTAGGAACACTTTGAGTGACAGGATGGTGTTACTGGCAGACAGGACCTATTAGAAACACTTTATAGAGTGACAGGATTGTGCTACTGGCAGACAGGACCTATTAGAAACACTTTATAGAGTGACAGGATGGTGTTACTGGCAGATAGGACCTATTAGAAACACTGTGAGTGACAGGATGGTGTTACTGGCAGACAGGATCTATTAGAAACAGTTTATAGAGTGACAGGACTGTGCTACTGGCAGGCAGGACCTATTAGAAACACTTTATAGAGTGACAGGATGGTGTTACTGGCAGACAGGACCTATTAGAAACACTTTGAATAACAGGATGGTGTTACTGGCAGACAGGACCTATTAGAAACACTTTATAAAGTGACAGGACTGTGCTACTGGCAGGCAGGACCTATTAGAAACACTTTGAATAACAGGATGGTGTTACTGGCAGACAGGACCTATTAGATACACTTTATAGAGTGACAGGATGGTGTTACTGGCAGACAGGACCTATTAGAAACACTTTATAGAGTGACAGGATGGTGTTACTGGCAGACAGGACCTATTAGAAACACTTTATAGAGTGACAGGATGGTGTTACTGGCAGACAGGACCTATTAGAAACACTTTATAAAGTGACAGGATGGTGTTACCGGCAGACAGGACCTATTAGAAACACTTTATAGAGTGACAGGATGGTGTTACTGGCAGACAGGACCTATTAGAAACACTTTATAGAGTGACAGGATGGTGTTACTGGCAGACAGGACCTATTAGAAACACTTTATAGAGTGACAGGATGGTGTTACTGGCAGACAGGACCTATTAGAAACACTTTATAAAGTGACAGGATGGTGTTACCGGCAGACAGGACCTATTAGAAACACTTTATAGAGTGACAGGATGGTGTTACTGGCAGACAGGACCTATTAGATACACTTTATAGAGTGACAGGATGGTGTTACCGGCAGACAGGACCTATTAGAAACACGTTATAGAGTGACAGGATTGTGCTACTGGCAGACAGGACCTATTAGAAACACTTTATAGAGTGACAGGATGGTGCTACTGGCAGAACGGACCTATTAGAAACACTTTATAGAGTGACAGGATTGTGCTACTGGCAGACAGGACCTATTAGAAACACTTTATAAAGTGACAGGATGGTGTTACTGACAGACAGGACCTATTAGAAACACTTTATAAAGTGACAGGATGGTGTTACTGGCAGACAGGACCTATTAGAAACACTTTATAAAGTGACAGGATGGTGTTACTGGCAGACAGGATCTATTAGAAACAGTTTATAGAGTGACAGGACTGTGCTACTGGCAGGCAGGACCTATTAGAAACACTTTGCGTGACAGGATGGTGTTACTGGCAGACAGGACCTATTAGAAACATTTTATAGAGTGACAGGATTGTGCTACTGGCAGACAGGACCTATTAGAAACACTTTATAGAGTGACAGGATGTGTTACTGGCAGACAGGACCTATTAGAAACACTTTATAAAGTGACAGGATGTGTTACTGGCAGACAGGACCTATTAGAAACACTTTATTGAGTGACAGGATGGTGCTACTAGCAGACAGGACCTATTAGAAACACTTTGAATAACAGGATGGTGTTACTGGCAGACAGGACCTATTAGATACACTTTATAGAGTGACAGGATGGTGTTACTGGCAGACAGGACCTATTAGAAACACTTTATAGAGTGACAGGATGGTGTTACTGGCAGACAGGACCTATTAGAATCACTTTGAGTGACAGGATGTGCTACTGGCAGACAGGACCTATTAGAAACACTTTATAGAGTGACAGGATGGTGCTACTGGCAGACAGGACCTATTAGAAACACTTTATAGAGTGCCAGGATGGTGTTACTGACAGACAGGACCTATTAGAAACACTTTATAGAGTGACAGGATGGTGTTACTGGCAGACAGGACCTATTAGAATCACTTTGAGTGACAGGATGTGCTACTGGCAGACAGGACCTATTAGAAACACTTTATAAAGTGACAGGATGGTGTTACTGGCAGACAGGACCTATTATAAACACTTTGAATGACAGGATGGTGTTACTGGCAGACAGGACCTATTAGATACACTTTATAGAGTGACAGGATGGTGTTACTGGCAGACAGGACCTATTAGAAACACTTTATAGAGTGACAGGATGGTGTTACTGGCAGACAGGACCTATTAGAATCACTTTGAGTGACAGGATGTGCTACTGGCAGACAGGACCTATTAGAAACACGTTATAGAGTGACAGGATGGTGTTACTGACAGACAGGACCTATTAGAAACACTTTATAGAGTGACAGGATGGTGTTACTGGCAGACAGGACCTATTAGATACACTTTATAGAGTGACAGGATGGTGTTACTGGCAGACAGGACCTATTAGAATCACTTTGAGTGACAGGATGTGCTACTGGCAGACAGGACCTATTAGAAACACTTTGAATGACAGGATGGTGTTACTGGCAGACAGGACCTATTAGATACACTTTATAGAGTGACAGGATGGTGTTACTGGCAGACAGGACCTATTAGAAACACTTTGAATAACAGGATGGTGTTACTGGCAGACAGGACCTATTAGATACACTTTATAGAGTGACAGGATGGTGTTACTGGCAGACAGGACCTATTAGAAACACTTTATAGAGTGACAGGATGGTGTTACTGGCAGACAGGACCTATTAGAAACACTTTATAGAGTGACAGGATGGTGTTACTGGCAGACAGGACCTATTAGAAACACTTTATAGAGTGACAGGATGGTGTTACTGGCAGACAGGACCTATTAGAAACACTTTATAAAGTGACAGGATGGTGTTTACCGGCAGACAGGACCTATTAGAAACACTTTATAGAGTGACAGGATGGTGTTACTGGCAGACAGGACCTATTAGATACACTTTATAGAGTGACAGGATGGTGTTACCGGCAGACAGGACCTATTAGAAACACTTTATAGAGTGACAGGATTGTGCTACTGGCAGACAGGACCTATTAGAAACACTTTATAGAGTGACAGGATTGTGCTACTGGCAGACAGGACCTATTAGAAACACTTTATAGAGTGAGAGGATTGTGCTACTGGTAGACAGGACCTATTAGAAACACTTTATAAAGTGACAGGATGGTGTTACTGACAGACAGGACCTATTAGAAACACTTTATAAAGTGACAGGATGGTGTTACTGGCAGACAGGACCTATTAGAAACACTTTATAAAGTGACAGGATGGTGTTACTGGCAGACAGGATCTATTAGAAACAGTTTATAGAGTGACAGGACTGTGCTACTGGCAGGCAGGACCTATTAGAAACACTTTGCGTGACAGGATGGTGTTACTGGCAGACAGGACCTATTAGAAACACTTTATTGAGTGACAGGATGGTGCTACTAGCAGACAGGACCTATTAGAAACACTTTGAATAACAGGATGGTGTTACTGGCAGACAGGACCTATTAGATACACTTTATAGAGTGACAGGATGGTGTTACTGGCAGACAGGACCTATTAGAAACACTTTATAGAGTGACAGGATGGTTTTACTGGCAGACAGGACCTATTAGAAACACTTTGAGTGACAGGATGGTGTTACTGGCAGACAGGACCTATTAGAAACACTTTATAGAGTGACAGGATGGTGTTACTGGCAGACAAGATCTATTAGGAACACTTTGAGTGACAGGATGGTGTTACTGACAGACAGGACTTATTAGAAACACTTTGAGTGACAGGATGGTGTTACTGGCAGACAGGACCTATTAGAAACACTTTATAGAGTGACAGGATTGTGCTACTGGCAGACAGGACCTATTAGAAACACTTTATAGAGTGACAGGATGTGTTACTGGCAGACAGGACCTATTAGAAACACTTTATAAAGTGACAGGATGGTGTTACTGGCAGACAGGACCTATTAGAAACACTTTGAATAACAGGATGGTGTTACTGGCAGACAGGACCTATTAGAAACACTTTGTAGAGTGACAGGATTGTGCTACTGGCAGACAGGACCTATTAGAAACACTTTATAGAGTGACAGGATGTGTTACTGGCAGACAGGACCTATTAGAAACACTTTATAAAGTGACAGGATGTGTTACTGGCAGACAGGACCTATTAGAAACACTTTATTGAGTGACAGGATGGTGCTACTAGCAGACAGGACCTATTAGAAACACTTTGAATAACAGGATGGTGTTACTGGCAGACAGGACCTATTAGATACACTTCATAGAGTGACAGGATGGTGTTACTGGCAGACAGGACCTATTAGAAACACTTTATAGAGTGACAGGATGGTGTTACTGGCAGACAGGACCTATTAGAATCACTTTGAGTGACAGGATGTGCTACTGGCAGACAGGACCTATTAGAAACACTTTATAGAGTGACAGGATGGTGCTACTGGCAGACAGGACCTATTAGAAACACTTTATAGAGTGACAGGATGGTGTTACTGACAGACAGGACCTATTAGAAACACTTTATAGAGTGACAGGATGGTGTTACTGGCAGACAGGACCTATTAGAATCACTTTGAGTGACAGGATGTGCTACTGGCAGACAGGACCTATTAGAAACACTTTATAAAGTGACAGGATGGTGTTACTGGCAGACAGGACCTATTATAAACACTTTGAATGACAGGATGGTGTTACTGGCAGACAGGACCTATTAGATACACTTTATAGAGTGACAGGATGGTGTTACTGGCAGACAGGACCTATTAGAAACACTTTATAGAGTGACAGGATGGTGTTACTGGCAGACAGGACCTATTAGAATCACTTTGAGTGACAGGATGTGCTACTGACAGACAGGACCTATTAGAAACACTTTATAGAGTGACAGGATGGTGTTACTGGCAGACAGGACCTATTAGAATCACTTTGAGTGACAGGATGTGCTACTGACAGACAGGACCTATTAGAAACACGTTATAGAGTGACAGGATGGTGTTACTGACAGACAGGACCTATTAGAAACACTTTATAGAGTGACAGGATGGTGTTACTGGCAGACAGGACCTATTAGAAACACTTTATAGAGTGACAGGATGGTGTTACTGGCAGACAGGACCTATTAGAAACACTTTATAGAGTGACAGGATGGTGTTACTGGCAGACAGGACCTATTAGAAACACTTTATAGAGTGACAGGATGGTGTTACTGGCAGACAGGACCTATTAGAAACACTTTATAGAGTGACAGGATGGTGTTACTAGCAGACAGGACCTATTAGAATCACTTTGAGTGACAGGATGTGCTACTGGCAGACAGGACCTATTAGAAACATGTTATAGAGTGACAGGATGGTGTTACTGACAGACAGGACCTATTAGAAACACTTTATAGAGTGACAGGATGGTGTTACTGGCAGACAGGACCTATTATAAACACTTTATAGAGTGACAGGATGGTGTTACTGGCAGACAGGACCTATTAGAAACACTTTATAGAGTGACAGGATGGTGTTACTGGCAGACAGGACCTATTAGAAACACTTTATAGAGTGACAGGATGGTGTTACTGGCAGACAGGACCTATTAGAAACACTTTATAGAGTGACAGGATGGTGTTACTGGCAGACAGGACCTATTAGAAACACTTTATAGAGTGACAGGATTTTGTTACTGGCAGACAGGACCTATTAGAAACACTTTATAGAGTGACAGGATGGTGTTACTGGCAGACAGGACCTATTAGAAACACGTTATAGAGTGACAGGATGGTGTTACTGGCAGACAGGACCTATTAGAAACACTTTATAGAGTGACAGGATTTTGTTACTGGCAGACAGGACCTATTAGAGACAATGCAGGCTCTGAGGACACTGTCATCGCTGTTATGTCACGCAAATGTAAGACTCTCATATGAAGAATAGCATCCTTTAGATTAATACAAAAAACAGGGTGTCTCTCTGGTCACATGACCTTCATCAATAGGGCCACAAGTCTTTCCTGACTGTGAAGTTGAGGAAAAACACTGTGGACTAAATGTAGGTAACAGGACTGGTGTGGTCGGGAGAGACTCCTTGGCCTCTTCATAAGACGTGATGACATGACATAAGGCAGCATTATGATGACGTCACCTCTGTTATCTTCATGCGGAGGCGGTGGTTGTCGGTCTGCAGGCCGTCCAGTCTGGACGTGTTGGCCTGGTTCACACTGGTCACTGACGTGGACGTCTTGGAGTCCTCTTTCTTCTGATTCGTATTGAACTTTAATCTCCGGTTCTGAGTAGCTGCGTCCGGATTGGTCCTCATCGTGATGAACTGCAAGTTGTCATAATAAAGGGGAGTGGCTTAGAATGACAGGTTAAGGTGTCACATCACATTCCTCCTCTGATTCACTCATATTTCAATGTTTAAAAACAAGGGAAAGTATTTCATACAATCAGCAACATTATAATTTCTGAGATCCTCTTAGAGTGCCTGAATCCAGTTTGTTGAGCAGTTTCATGCCCCTTGGTTGGACAGGAAGTGACAGTATACTATTTCCTGTGGTCCTTACCTTTGGCACAAACACCAGACAGAGAGTGATGGTACTGCAGAAGATGATGACCAGAGCCACGATGCAGAACTGCACATTGGGCTGGTCTCGCGTGAGGAAGGACACGGCTGCCCCGATGATACACATGATGCCCACATTGTACACACTCATCCCGATGTACTTGCTGTCATTCAGGGCCGGGATGCTCACATTCCTCGTTTCCCAAGCCAGGAAGCACCCAAACAACTGGAGGAGAGGGGAGAGAAGAGAAGAGGAGAGGAGAGGAGAGGAAAGGAGAGGAGAGGAGAGGAGAGGAGAGGAGAGGAGAGGAGAGGAGAGGAGAGGAGAGGAGAGGAGAGGAGAGGAGAGGAGAGGAGAGGAGAGGAGAGGAGAGGAGAGGAGAGGAGAGGAGAGGGGGAGAGAAGGAGAAGGGGAGAGAAGGGGAGAGAAGGGGAGAGGAGAGAGGTTAGGAGAGGGGGCGAGAGGAGAGGGGGAGAGAAGGAGGAGAGGAGAGGGGGAGAGAAGGAGGAGAGGAGAGGGGGAGAGAAGGAGAGGAGAAGGGGAGAGGAGAGGAGAGGAGAGGGGGAGAGGAGAGGATAGAAGAGGGGGAGAGGAGGGGAGAGGAGAGGAGAGGAGAAGGGGAGAGAAGAGAAGAGAGAAGGAGAGGATAGAAGAAGGGGAGAGGAGAGAAGAGAAGGAGAGAAGGAGAGGAGAGGTGGAAAGGGGAGAGATAAAAGAGGAGAGAGAGAGGAGAGGGGAGGAAAGGAGAGGAGGAGGGGAGGGGAGAGAGAGAGAATGGAAGATTAACAGGGATGTGTTGTATAGGCCTATTTATGTACAGTACATACTGTTGCTGTTATCTAGTAGTCGATATTCAGTCGTGATATAGAGACAGCTCATTATGTACATTTTCACTAATATATGAATTATACCATCTAATGTGACCTATATAGCAGACAGCAGCATTGACATAAACTTGAAAAGCCTTATCAGTGTGTCTCAACATTCTAATGCTGTAGCAGCATCACAGGAGCAGTCGTCACAGATGATCACACCTTGGGATAGGTGTGTGTTTGTGTGTGTGTGTGCGTGCCATAGGAGAGATGGTGACTCAATCCTCAGATGCTGTTCCTACTGTTGTCATGTCCCAGTTTTGTCTCAGACACAAGAACTCTGAAGTCTGTCGTGCCATGTCTCCATCTGTTTCTTCTGTTTCTTCTGTTTCTTCTCTCTCTCTCTCTCTCTCTCTCTCTCTCTCTCTCTCTCTCTCTCTCTCTCTCTCTCTCTCTCTCTCTCTCTCTCTCTCTCTCTCTCTCTCTCTCTCTCTCAATTCAATTCAATTCAATTCAATTTAAGGGCTTTATTGGCATGGGAAACGTGTGTTAACATTGCCAAAGCAAGTGAAGTAGATAGTAAACAAAAGTGAAATAAACAATAAATATTAACAGTAAACATTATACTCAGAAGTTTCAAAAGAATAAAGACATTTCAAATGTCATATTATGTATATATACAGTGTTGTAACAATGTGCAAATAGTTAAAGTACAAATGGGAAAATAAATAAACATAAATATGGATTGTATTTACAATGGTGTTTGTTCTTCACTGGTTGCCCTTTTCTTGTGGCAACAGGTCACAAATATTGCAGCTGTGATGGCACACTGTGGTTTTTCACCCAGTAGATAAGGGAGTTTATTAAAATTGGGTTTGTTTTCGAATTCTTTGTGGATCTCTGTAATCTGAGGGAAATATGTGTCTCTAATATGGTCATACATTTGGCAGGAGGTTAAGAAGTGCAGCTCAGTTTCCACCTCATTTTGTGGGCAGTGTGCACATAGCCTGTCTTCTCTTGAGAGCCAGGTCTGCCTACGGCGGCCTTTCTCAATAGCAAGGCTATGCTCACTGAGTCTGTACATAGTCAAAGCTTTCCTTAATTTTGGGTCAGTCACAGTTGTCAGGTATTCTGCCACTGTGTACTCTCTGTTTAGGGCCAAATAGCATTCTAGTTTGCTCTGTTTTTTTGTTTGTTCTTTCCAATGTGTCAAGTAATTCTCTTTTTGTTTTCTCATGATTTGGTTGGGTCTAGTTGGGTTTTGTTGTTGTCCTGGGGCTGTGTGGGGTCTGTTTGTGTTTGTGAACAGAGCCCCAGGACAAGCTTACTTAGGTGACTCTTCTCCAAGTTCATCTCTCTGTAGGTGATGGCTTTGTTATGGAAGGTTTGGGAATCGCTTCCTTTTAAGTTGTTATAGAATTTAACGGCTCTTTTCTGGATTTTGATAATTAGCGGGTATTGGCCTAATTCTGCTCTGCACGCATTATTTGGTGTTTTACGTTGTACACTGAGGATGTTTTTGCAGAATTCTGCATGCAGAGTCTCAATTTGGTGTTTGTCCCATTTTGTGAATTCTTGGTTGGTGAGCGGACCCCGGAACTCAGAACCATAAAGGGCAATGGGTTCTATAACAGATTCAAGTATTTTTAGCCAGATCCTAATTGGTATGTCACATTTTATGTTCCTTTTGATGGCATAGAAGGCCCTTCTTGCCTTGTCTCTCAGATTGTTCACAGCTTTGTGGAAGTTACCTGTGGCGCTGATGTTTAGGCCGAGGTATGTATAGTTTTTTGTGTGCTCTAGGGCAACGGTGTCTAGATGGAATTTGTATTTGTGGTCCTGGCAACTGGACCTTTTTTGGAACACCATTATTTTTGTCTTACTGAGATTTACTGTCAGGGCCCAGGTCTGACAGAATCTGTGCAGAAGATCTAGGTGCTGCTGTAGGCCCTCCTTGGTTGGTGACAGAAGCACCAGATCGTCAGCAAACAGAAGACATTTGACTTCAGATTCTAGTAGGGTGAGGCCGGGTGCTGCAGACTGTTCTAGTGCCCTCGCCAATTCGTTGATATATATGTTGAAGAGGGTGGGGCTTAAACTGCATCCCTGTCTCACCCCACGGCCCTGTGGAAAGAAATGTGTGTGTTTTTTGCCAATTTTAACCGCACACTTGTTGTTTGTGTACATGAATTTTATAATGTCGTATGTTTTTCCCCCAACCCCACTTTCCATCAATTTGTATAGCAGACCCTCATGCCAAATTGAGTCAAAAGCTTTTTTGAAATCAACAAAGCATGAGAAGACTTTGCCTTTGTTTTGGTTTGTTTGTTTGTCAATTAGGGTGTGCAGGGTGAATACGTGGTCTGTCATACGGTAATTTGGTAAAAAGCCAATTTGACATTTGCTCAGTACATTGTTTTCACTGAGGAAATGAACTAGTCTGCTGTTAATGATAATGCAGAGGATTTTCCCAAGGTTGCTGTTGACGCATATCCCACGGTAGTTATTTGGGTCAAATTTGTCTCCACTTTTGTGGATTGGGGTGATCAGTCCTTGGTTCCAAATATTGGGGAAGATGCCAGAGCTAAGGATGATGTTAAAGAGTTTAAGTATAGCCAATTGGAATTTGTAGTAGGTATATTCTATCATTTCATTTAGGATACCATCAACACCACAGGCCTTTATGGGTTGGAAGGATTGTATTTTGTCCTGTAGTTCATTCAATGTAATTAGAGAATCCAGTGGGTTCTGGTAGTCGTTAATAGTTGATTATAAGATTTGTATTTGATCATGTATATGTTTTTGGTGTTTGTTCTTTGTTATAGGCCCAAAAAGATTGGAGAAGTGGTTTACCCATATATAGATATCTCTTCCAGAAGTGGTTAGAGTCTATGGATTCTTCAATTACATTGAGCTGATTTCTGATGTGCTGTTCCTTGTTTTTCCGTAGTGTATTTCTGTAGTGTTTTAATGATTCACCATAGTGAAGGCGTACTCTCTCTCTCTCTCTCTCTCTCTCTCTCTCTCTCTCTCTCTCTCTCTCTCGCTCTCGCTCTCTCGCTCTCTCGCTCTCTCTCTCTCGCTCTCTCGCTCTCTCGCTCTCTAAATTATTTACAGTCTGGGCTAGTTAAGTTAAGGTGTTCAAACACACAAGCCAAGGGAAAGAGGAACGTTTTCAAAGATGTCACATTTCATTTAGAAACCTCAGGCATCTGGAGGGGCTCGGTTAACTACGTCACTGGCAGCTCTGCTTGGAGGCACACACACGCACACACACACACACACACACACGCACCTCCGGTACCGCTTGCCGTGCGGTAGCAGAGAGAACAGTCTATGACTAGGGTGGCTGGAGTCTTTGGTAATTTTTAGGGCCTTCCTCTGACACCACCTGGTATAGAGGTCCTGGAGGTCCTCTGTAGTGCCTTGTGGTCGGAGGCCGAGCAGTTGCCATACCAGGTGGTGATGCAACCAGTCAGGATGCTCTCGATGGTGCAGCATTTTGTGGATCTGAGGACCCCATGCCAAATCTTTTCAGTCTCCTGAGGGGCAATAGGTATTGTCGTTCCCTCTTCACAACTGTCTTGGTGTGTTTGGACCATGATCGTTTGTTGGTGATGTGGACACCAAGGAACTTGAAGCTCTCAACCTGCTCCAAAACAGCCCCGTCGATGAGAATGGGGGCATGCTCGGCCCTCCTTTTCCTGTTGTCCACGATCATCTCCTTTGTCTTGATGACAGAGAGGGAGAGGTTGTTATCCTGGCACCACACTGCCAGGTCTCTGACCTCCTCCCTATAGGCTGTCTCATCGTTGTCGGTGATCAGGCCTACCACTGTTGTGTCGTCGGCAAACTTAATGATGGTGTTGGAGTCGTGCCTGGCCATGCAGTCCAGGGTGAACAGGGAGTACAGGAGGGGACTGAGTACGCACCCCTGAGGGGCCCCCGTGTTGAGGATCAGCGTGGCAGATGTGTTGTTACCTACCCTTACTACCTGGGGGCGGCCCGTCAGAAAATCCAGGATCCAGTTGCGGAGGGAGGTGTTTAGTCCCAGGGTCCTTAGCTTAGTGATGAGCTTTGAGGGCACTATGGTGCTGAACGCTGAGCTGTAGTCAATAAATAGCATTCTCACATAGGTGTTCCTTTTGTCCAGTTGGGAAAGGGCAGTGTGGAGTGCAATAGATATTGTGTCATCTGTGGATATGTTGGGGCGGTATGCAAATCAAAGTTCTTACTCACATCGGCTACGGAGAGCGTGATCACACAGTCGTCCGGAACAGCTGGTGCTCTCATGCATGCTTCAGTGTTGCTTGCCTCAAAGCGCACATTTACCTCGACTAACCGGTGCCCCCGCACATTGACTCGGTACCGGTACCCCCTGTATATAGCCTCGCTATTGTTGTTTTTCCTGCTGCTCTTTAATTATTTGTTACTTTTATTTCATATTATTTTATATTGTTTTTTTGGTGTGATTTTTTTGTTGTTGTATTCTTTCTTAAAACTGCTTGTTGGTTAAGGGCTTGTAAGTAAGCATTTCACTGTAAGGTCTACACCTGTTGTATTCGGCACATGTGACAAATAAAATGTGATTTGATTTGATTTGACATATAAGTCATTTAGCTCGTCTGGTAGGCTCGTGTCACTGGGCAGCTCGCGGATGTGCTTCCCTTTGTAGTCCGTAATAGTTTGCAAGCCCTGCCACATACGACGAGCATTGGAGCCGGTGTAGGAGGATTCAATCTTAGTCATGTATTGACGCTTTGCCTGTTTGATGGCTCATCGGAGGGCATAGCGGGATTTCTACTAAGCTTCCGGGTTAGAGTCACGCTCCTTGAAAGCGGCAGCTCTACCCTTTAGCTCAGTGCGGATGTTGCCTGTAATCCATGGCTTCGGGTTGGGGTATGTACGTACGGTCACTGTGGGGATGACGTCATCGATGCACTTATTAATGAAGCCAGTGACTGATGTGGTGTACTCCTCAATGCCATCTGAAGAATCCCAGAACATATTCCAGTCTGTACTAGCAAAACAGTTCCGTAGCTTAGCATCTGCATCATCTGACCACTTCCTTATTGAGCGAGTCACTGGTACTTCCTGCTTTAGTTTTTGCTTGTAAGCAGGAATCAGGAGGATAGCATTATGGTCAGATTTTCCAAATGGAGGGCGAGGGAGAGCTTTGAACGCGTCTCTGTGTGTGGAGTAAAGGTGATCTAGAGTTTTTTTTCCTCTGGTTGCACATTTAACATGCTGGTAGAAATTAGGTAAAACTGATTTAAGTTACCCTGCATTAAAGTCCCTGGCCACTAGGAGCGCCGCCTCTGGATGAGCATTTTCTTGTTTGCTTATGGCCTTATACAGCTCGTTGAGTGCGGTCTTAGTGCCAGCATCGGTTTGTGGTGGTAAATAGACAGCTACGAAAAATATAGATGAAAACTCTCTTGGTACTCTACCTCAGGCAAGCAAAACCTTGAGACTTCCTTAATATTAGATTTCTCACAGTGGAAGGGTCTCTTCAGTGAAGGACAAGTCTATTGTCAGTAACCCATCACTGAACCAATGGCAGGTTGTGTTATTTCTCTATCTGTAAAGTAGGGTATGAGTCATATCCCAGTATTCAGACAGATCAATAGAATGTGCTCCATAAAATCGACATCTAACAACCACAGATATGATAACCATATGTTTGCGGCAGAAAATTAGCTATTGAACTCTCCATCATGACACAATGACCATGGTATACACATGCTAGACGGTGTTGATGCAGATAACAGCCACCATCTCTTCCTTCCCTGTGTCTCAGAGCAGATAACACCCATCACCTCTTCCTTCCCTGTGTCTCAGAGCAGATAACAGCCATCACCTCTTCCTTCCCTGTGTCTCAGAGCAGATAACACCCATCACCTCTTCCTTCCCTGTGTCTCAGAGCAGATAACAGCCATCACCTCTTCCTTCCCTGTGTCTCAAAGCAGATAACAGCCATCATCTCTTCCTTCCCTGTGTCTCAGAGCAGATAACACCCATCACCTCTTCCTTCCCTGTGTCTCAAAGCAGATAACACCCATCACCTCTTCCTTCCCTGTGTCTCAAAGCAGATAACAGCCATCACCTCTTCCTTCCCTGTGTCTCAGAGCAGATAACAGCCATCACCTCTTCCTTCCCTGTGTCTCAGAGCAGATAACAGCCATCACCTCTTCCTTCCCTGTGTCTCAGAGCAGATAACAGCCATCACCTCTTCCTTCCCTGTGTTTCAGAGACTACCTCCCTAACTATGAATAGGTCCTTGTAGGTGACGGACACACACACACACCAGTCTCTCTTCTTACTCACCATAAGCAGGCCCTTGTATGCGTACACGATCCCCAGCCAAATGGTCATGTGTGTGTTCTCGCAGTGTTCCAGGAAGGGCCGGATGGCTATGTCCCGCCCCTGGGGGTCCGCCTGTAGGGACACACAGAGAGAAGAGAAAGGCTGGTGAGTTGTGGGCGCATGTATGTCAACAACAACAACAATATTAACAACAACAGCAACAATATTTTCAACAAAAACAACAATCAATATCTGAACAGTATTTCTTCCCAAAAATGTTTTGTACGACAGCATCACACATATACAGTGCCTTCGGGACCCCTTGACTTTTTCCACATTTTGTTACGTTACAGCCTTTTCTAAACTTGATGAAATTGTTTTTTTCCCCTCATCAATCTACACACAATACCCCATAATGACAAATAATTTTTGTTGTTGTTGCTAATTTATAAAAAATACAGAATTACATTTACATAAGTATTCAGACCCTTTACTCAGTACTTTGTTGAAGCACCTTTGGCAGCAATTACAGCCTCGAGTCTTCTTGGGTATGACGCTACAAGTTTGGCACACCTGTATTTGGGGAGTTTCTCCCATTCTTCTCTGCAGATCCTCTCAAGCTCTGTCAGGTTGGATGGGGAGCGTTTCTGCACAGCTATTTTCAGATCTCTCCAGAGATTTTAGATCAGGTTCAAGTCCGGGCTCTGGCTGGGCCACTCAAGGACATTCAGAGACTTGTCCCGAAGCCACTCCTGCGTTGTCTTGGCTGTGTGCTTACGGTCGTTGTCCTGTTGGAAGGTGAACCTTCGCCCCAGTCTGAGCACTCTGGAGCAGGTTTTCAACAAGGATCTCTCTGTACTTTGCTCCGTTCATATTTGCCTCGATCCTGACTAGTCTCCCAGTCCCTGCCGATGAAAAACATCCCCACAGCATGATGCTGCCACCACCATGCTTCACTGTGGGGATAGTGTTCTCGGGGTGATGAGAGGTGTTGGGTTTGTGCCAGACATAGCGTTTTCCTTGATGGCCAAAAAGCTCAATTTTAGTCTCATCTGACCAGAGTACCTTCTTCCATATGTTTGGGGAGTCTCCCACATGCCTTTTGGCAAACATCAAACATGTTTGCTTATTTATTTCTTTAAGCAATGGCTTTTTTCTGGCCACTCATCCGTAAACCCCAGCTGTGTGGAGTGTACGGCTTAAAGTGGTCCTATGGACAGATACTCCAATCTCCGCTGTGGAGCTTTGCAGCTCCTTCAGGTTTATCTTTTGTCTCTTTTTTGCCTCTCTGATTAATGCCCTCCTTGCCTGGTCCGTGAGTTTTGGTGGGCGGCCCTCTCTTGGCAGGTTTGTTGTGGTGCCACTTTCTTTCCATGTTTTAATAATGGATTTAATGGTGCTCCGTGGGATGGTCAAAGTTTCGGATATTTTTTTTATAACCCAACCCTGATCTGTACTTCTCCACAACTTTGTCCCTGACCTGTTTGGAGAGCTCCTTGGTCTTCATGGTGCCGCTTCCTTGGTGGTGCCCTTTGCTTAGTGGTGTTGCAGACTCTGGGGCCTTTTAGAACAGGTGTATATATACTGAGATCGTGTGACAGATCATGTGACACTTAGATTGCACACAGGTGGCCTTTATTTAACTAATTATGTGTCTTCTGAAGGTAATTGGTTGCACCAGATCTTATTTAGGGGCTTCATAGCAAAGGGGGTGAATACATATAGTTTAAGTCGGAAGTTTACATACACTTAGTTTGGAGACTTTAAAACGTAATTTTTCCAACAATTGTTTACAGACAGATTATTTCACTTATAATTCACTTTATCACAATTCCAGTGGGTCAGAAATGTACATACACTAAGTTGACTGTGCCTTTAAACAGCTTGGAAAATTCCAGAAAATGATTCATGGCTTTAGAAGCTTCTGATAGGCTAATTGACATCATTTGAGTCAATTGGAGGTGTACCTGTGGATGTATTTCAAGGCCTACCTTCAAACTCAGTGTCTCTTTGCTTGACATCATGGGAAAATCAAAAGAAATCAGACAAGACCTCAGAAAGAAAATTGTAGACCTCCACAAGTCTGGTTCATCCTTGGGAGCAATTTCCAAATGCCTGAAGGTACCACGTTCATCTGTAGTAAGTATAAACACCATGGGACCACGCAGCCGTCATACCGCTCAGGAAGGAGATGCGTTCTGTCTCCTAGAGATGAACGTACTTTGGTGCGAAAAGTGCAAATCAATCCCAGAAAAACAGCAAAGGACCTTGTGAAGATGCTGGAGGAAACGGGTACAAAAGTATCTATATCCACAGTAAAAACGAGTCCTATATCGACATAACGAAAGGCCGCTCAGCAAGGAAGAAGCCACTGCCTCAAAACCGCCATAAAAAAGCCAGACTACGGTTTGCACATGGGGACAAAGATCATACTTTTTGGAGAAATGTCCTCTGGTCTGATGAAACAAAAATAGAACTGTTTGGCCATAATGACCATCGTTATGTTTGGAGGAAAAAGGGGCAGGCTTACAAGCCGAAGAACACCATCCCAACCGTGAAGCACGGGGGTAGCAGCATCATGCTGTGGGGGTGCTTTGCTGCAGGAGGGACTGGTGCGCTTCACAAAATAGATGGCATCATGAGGAAGGAAAATTATGTGGATATATTGAAGCAACATCTCAAGACATCAGTCAGGAAGTTAAAGCTTGGTCGCAAATGGGTCTTCCAAATGGACAATGACCCCAAGCATACTTCCAAAGTTGTGGCAAAATGGCTTAAGGACAACAAAGTCAAGGTATTGGAGTGGCCATCACAAAGCCCTGACCTCAATCCTATAGAACATTTGTGGGCAGACCTGAAAAAGTGTGTGCGAGCAAGGAGGCCTACAAACCTGACTCAGTTACACCAACTCTGTCAGGAGGAATGGGCCAAAATTCACCCAGCTTATGGTGGGAAGCTGACATTTCACATTCTTAAAATAAAGTGGTGATCCTAACTGACTAAGACAGGGAAATTTTACTAGGATTAAATGTCAGGAACTGTGAAAAACTGAGTTTAAAAGTATTTGGCTAAAGTGTATGTAAACTTCCGACTTCAACTGTATGCATGCACCACTTTTTTGTTATTTATTTTTTTGTATTCTTTTAAACAAGTTATTTTTTTAAATTTCACTTCACCAATTTGGACTATTTTGTGTATGTCCATTACATGAAATCCAAATAAAAATCTATTTCAATTACAGGTTGTTATGCAACAAAATAGGAAAAACGCCAAGGGGGATGAATACTTTTGTAAGGCACTGTAGCAAGCGGTGTCAGAGGAAGGTCCAAAAATTGTCAAAGACTTCCAGCCACCTAAGCAATAGACTGTTTGTTCTCTCTGATACCGCATGGCACATGGGACCAGTGCACCAACTGTGCACCAACTGTCTATTATCTATCCTCCCGAGTGGCGCAGTGGTCTAAGGCACTGCATCGCAGTGCTAGCTGTGCCACTAGAGATCCTGGTTCGAATCCAGGCTCTGTCGTAGCCGGCCACGACCGGGAGACCCATGGGGCGGCGCACAATTGGCCCAGCGTCGTCCAGGGTAGGGGAGGGAATGGCCGGCAGGGATGTAGCTCAGTTGGTAGAGCATGGCGTTTGCAACGCCAGGGTTGTGGGTTCGATTCCAGTATAAACAAATTATGTATGCACTCACTAACTGTAAGTCGCTCTGGATAAGAGCGTCTGCTAAATGACTTAAATGTATCCTGTTGCCTAGTCACCTTAATCCTACCTACAGTATCTGTACATATCTACCTCAATTACCTCGTACCCCTGCACATCGACTCGGTACTGGTACTCCCTGTATATAGCCATGTTATTTTCTTTGTCAGGTCTTACCAGCGTGTTTCCCGTTTCTCCAGTTCTCTAGTTCTTGTTTTCTAGTCTTCCTGGTTCCGACCTTTCTGCCTGCCCTGAGCCTGCCTGCCATTCTGTCCCTGATTGACACTGCCTTGGATTATGAACCTCTGCCTGCCCTCGACCTGCCCTTTGCCTGCCCCTTTGTTTTTGTGGTCCTCTGTAGCTCAGCTGGTAGAGCACGGAGCTTGTAACGCCAAGGTAGTTGAGGTAGATACAGGTTATGGAACCCCTACCTGTCCCAGACCTGCTGTTTTAAACTCTAATGATCGGCTATGAAAAGCCAACTGAGATTTATTCCTGATTATTATTTGACCATGCTTGTCACTTATGAACATTTTTGAACATCTTGGCATGGTTCTGTTATAATCTCCACCCGGCACAGCCAGAAGAGGACTGGCCACCCCTCATAGCCTGGTTCCTCTCTAGGTTTCTTCCTAGGTTTTGCCTTTCTAGGGAGTTTTTCCTAGCCACCGTGCTTCTACACCTGCATTACTAGCTGTTTGGGGTTTTAGGCTGGGTTTCTGTACAGCACTTCGAGATATTAGCTGATGTAAGAAGGGCTATATAAAATAAAATTGATTGATTGATTGATTGATTGAAGGTAGTGGGTTCGATCCCCGGGACCACCCATACACAAAAAAAAAAAAAAATAATAATTGTAAGTCGCTTTGGATAAAAGCGTCTGCTAAATGGCATATTATTATTATTATTATTATTATTTATAATAAATATTCTGAGAATCGAACTATCCACCTCCTGTGTCTGCATCTGGGTCATATCTTGAGTCGTGATATTATATAGCCATGTTATTTTCTACTCTCTGTATATAGCCATGTTATTTTCTACTTCCTGTATACAGCCATGTTATTTTCTACTTCCTGTATATAGCCATGTTATTTTCTACTCTCTGTATATAGCCATGTTATATTCTACTTCCTGTACACAGCCATGTTATTTTCTACTTCCTGTATATAGCCATGTTATTTTCTACTTCCTGTATATAGCCATGTTATTTTCTACTTCCTGTATACAACCATGTTATTTTCTACTTCCTGTATATAGCCATGTTATTTTCTACTTCCTGTATACAGCCATATTATTTTCTACTTCCTGTATACAGCCATGTTATTTTCTACTTCCTGTATATACAGTGGGGGAAAAAAGTATTTAGTCAGCCACCAATTGTGCAAGTTCTCCCACTTAAAAAGATGAGAGAGGCCTGTAATTTTCATCATAGGTACACGTCAACTATGACAGAC